ACTCAATGTTGTGTATAAGAGAATAGAAATCATATATTCATAATGCGAATGAGATAGTTTGAAATCTGTGACCGTCGCACTATTGGTCAGATCTGTCGACTCTGAGGATATATAAGTCACTGGCTTATTTGTCTGTAATCAACTCTCCTTGTGCTATAATGGCTGGTGAACACATTAAAGTGAGTGTAATGAGATTTCTATATCACCTGTGTTGGTGAACTTTCGAGACCAACATTATGGATTGCAACAACAATATTTTGAAGGCAAACTTGGATGAATAATGCCATTCGAATATAAGAGTGTGTATTGAGTCTGTGTTTGTGACACTGCACACACTAAATGCGTACATTAGTCATGACAGTAACTTTTCACCTAGTCAAGTCAAGAAATTACGTGTCCAGATTAGGCTTAAATGTGATGCATAACCACTATGGTTACACAGTGATCACCCATTATAGTTATTTAAGTTAAGTGTAATACTTTGAAAAATATTACAGTTTGTATATGCAAGTATCGGGAGGATTTGTCTATGCTTATTTGTTTTACCATTACGTATTCTCTATGGGTGGAGGGGTCAAAGAGAGCTAGAGTATGTTAGAGTTTATTGGACTGGATGATGTGTTTGAGTTGGCAAGAACTTAGGTGATGTAACTGTTTTCAAGAGATCAGTGATGCGAACCATTTCACCGCCATATATTGTAATTTTTGCAGATTACCTATTTTAACGGACGTGGACGTGCTGAATCGATTCGAATGACTCTTGTAGTAGCTGAATTAGACTACGAGGACGAAAGAATCAGTTTCCGTGATTGGCCGAATATCAAACCGACTATTCCTGGAGGAAGATTGCCTGTAGTGACGATCACTGAGAATGATGGGCAAGTAAAATGTATGCAAGAGAGTTTGGCTGTTGCGCGCTATCTAGCAATAAGGAATGATATGATGGGTGAAACAGACGATGAATATTATAGTGTTGAGAAATTGATTGGTCAAGTGAGTTAAGACTTATACTGACCCGTAAAATTTTGTTCAGTTGGACAATACTTTGAGTTCAGTATAGTGGGTTTAATAAATTGTTTGAATTGATAGGCGAGTGGTACTAGTGTCTTGTGAATTATAAAAATTATAAATTTGTAGTATCCTAATTCTTCAGAAGAACTAGCTGGAACTGAGCAACGATTTCAGAAATTTAATTTTCTACTCATTGTAACATTAAAGATGTATTACTATTCAATGGTATCACATAACATAGCTAACTGATGATTATGTATGTGGCCACTCCTTCAAAATTACTTTCTCGTGTTATATTTTATTCATCGTTATGATAATGTGTTGAATAGGAAGAACAGAATGTGTACATGGATTAACTGGGAAGTTATTTACCGACCTCATAAAACGTGTTTAAATTATTCGACACCTATTGTGCACGAATGTCAGTTATATATAGTTTTAAATAGTTTCTCTTCACATATCCTCACTCTTATGGTCATCATTTATTTTTGATTTTACCCACAATGTACAGACTGATGATTTAGATGGTGAAGTTTACAAAACTTTCATGCAGCCACAAGAAGAGAAAGAGAAGTTTACCAAAGAGATACTGAACGGTAAAGTTCCAGTCTTACTGAATGTAAGTTAACTTGAGAATCTGGTCGTTTTGTGTTTAGTATTTAACTTAACATTGGTGATCTGGAAAGCGATTTGTGGTGTTTCTTACTGAATTGTTAGTGAGTGATGTTAATTTGTTGAGTGCTTCCAGGTCATGCATTTGACAAAATTACATGTGTGTCTATCAGAATGAATTACAGATCATTTCACCGTATTTTGATGAGTTTGGTGATGTGAGTCACACAAATCTGAGGAATCGGAAAGTCATGCAATTATAGTATGTTGCCCAAACAATCAGATATTAAGTAGGGACACAGAAGAAGTTGAGTTTTAGTAAGAATTAGTAAACGTTGAACACCTCCGTGGTTGGTCATTTGTTTCTGTATTTGTTTAACATGTTAGCAGAGTTTGGTACTAAAGCGGTTTTCCACCTCGAAATGCAAAATGTTGCTTCAAGATTGGGTTGTATCGGCACCTGAACTAGTGTTATGGAGGGAAGTAGTCCAGCATGTAGACCGCTTCACTTATCTGGGGAGTCTGATCAGTCCTGATGGCCCGGTGACTGAAGAAATCTCAGCTCGGATACGAAAGGCTCGATTGGCTTTTGCCAACCTGCGTCACTTATGGCGCAGACGAGATGTTGTACGATATACTGTGCAGCAATTCGCTCTGTCCTACTATACGGATGCGAAACATGGCTGTTAAAAGTAGAGGACATTCGTAGGTTACTAGTCTTCGATCATAGGTGTATCCGATGCATTGCTCGTGTATCGCAAGACAACCGAGCATGTAATGCTGTTGTTAGGAAACGGGTGCTATGTAAAGATGCCAAATTAATAGATGAAGTGGTGAAAGTTCATCAGTTGAAGTAGTTGGGACATATGTTACGTATGCCTAACCACCGACTGCCTTGACGAGCTATGTTTTGTGGTGTAGGAGTAGGTTCGAAGAAAGTTAGGGGCGGCCAAACCAAAACATGGACTGACTCATGTTGGTAGATGTAGGCTGTGGTTGGTGTCCACGAGACGAAAGTCACCGATTGTTAGAGAGTTTTAACGAAATAGCTCAGAATCGTTCGCAATGGCTCAGGTGCATCCACTCTTTCTGTTTTTTTTCTAACCTTATGAATGTCTCATAATCTTTATCTTTCTCCTTCTAAATTTGTCTCACTCATTTAAACTTTTCGAATCGTGTCTTCGCTCCCTAATCTTCTCCATCGCTGCTAATAATTCCACTATCGCTATCACTCTTGGGTTTGAACTGATGTACTTATGTACGAAGTTCTGCGTTGTATCTGTCTGTCTGTCTGTCCGTCTGTTTGGTACTAAATGTTTTTATTCAGTGTCAGTTTAATTTAGAGTGATTATTTTCATCAGTCAACTAAACCTTGCAATCTTCTTTTCCATACATGTAGTTAATCTGCGAATCTCTAAAAGAATCTAAAGGGAAGCTGGCTGTTGGAGATAATGTGACTCTAGCTGATTTGGTTCTAATTTCTGCTATTGACCATCTGAATGATTTGGATAAAGAATTTTTGACTGGAAAGTATCCTGAGATACATAAACATCGAGAACATTTGTTAGCCAGTTCACCGAAATTGGCGAATTATTTATCAAACAGACCTGCAACTACATTTTAAAACTATCAACAGAAAGCTTGCAGGAACGAGACTGACGCTATCTATATTCACATTAGTGCACTGATGTTGCGACCATTTCACAAGGATGTCATTTTTGCTGTATTGTATTCTTTTTTCACATGTTATTAAAATGAACTGTCTTCTGTTTAACCTTGTCTTTTGCCTACGGTTATCCTAATTCTGCCTGTAGACCTTTCAGGGCTACTGCTGTTCCCAAGCCTGGATAAAGGAGAAGGGTTGGGATGTGGGTCGGCGACCCCGTCGCGGAAAATACTAACTTGCAAAAAAAGCTAACAAGCAAAGTAATTCAAGGCAAAGAAACTCTACTCTTGGAGTTAGATCTTCATTTAAAAAAGAGTTATGACGTCTCATGATGAAAGCCGAGTGGTTTCGAAAGTCACGAGTCCGATGCCGCCTCTGTAACTCGGAACGCTTCCGCGTGTGAGCAGCCGGAGGTAGCATCCGCCCTCATACACGTAAAAGCAAATTCTTTCTACACCTAATAACTCTCTTATCTCTTGAACCAGTCCTTCTTTCGATCGTTTATTACCTCAAGCCACTGAAGCAAACGTAATGATCTCAAGAAACACTACTCCTGGTCTTTCGAAACACGGTTCTAAATTACATATTTGAGCTTTTGTTCTTCTAACCTGGAATCTCGAACGATCGATGTAGGTCGCGTCTCTGAAACGTTCATATAGGAGGATCCTTGGAAAATTTGACTTCACCTAGTGCAGACTGTGATAAAACGTGGTTTACGCTTCATGTTTCTGGAAGCCCTGATGTCGTTTCACGTGGCCTCGCCAGCTTAGGTATAGTATGAAGTCCTAGGGTAGAACTATTTCTCTTAGACTAGATCCCGATAGACAATAGCTGTATGATTAAACGGCGCAGTATGGACTCGGAAGAATAGGGAGTCTGGCCGTTGCCTCTTCGTCGTATCTGCCTACGCACCTACTGACTGCAGTTCGGACGACATGAAAGATAAGTTTTATAGAAAACTCTCTAAACTTCTCCAAAATGTTAAGCGCTCTGATATAGTAATAGTGGCTCGTGACTTTAACGCTCGAGTAGGTAGACTCACCGGAAACGAAATACACCTGGGTGGATCTTAGGGTGTCACCGCTAACAGAACAGATCATGGCTACCGTCTGTTGCAACTATGCTCAGATAACCTCCTATTCCTAGCAAACACTAACTTTAAGCAAAAGGAGAAACATCTTTTGACCTGGCGAGCAACAAAGCGAACCTAATGATGGACTCAACCAAATCACATCGCTATAAGCCATCGGTGGAGAGGCTCTGTTGAAGACTGCCTCTCATTCTGGAGCATTGTTTAGACTCACACCATGCTCTAGTGCGAGTACATATTTGTTTGCGTCTCACTGGACGTAGGAAACATATCGCAAAGAAACCTGTTAGGGCTCTAATTAATGACAATAAAGCTAAGAATACATTTCAGGAACAAGTAGAAAGACAGTTAGACGGCCACAAAGCAAGTGAGGCGCAACCTGAGGCAGCTCGTAATTATATCAAAAAAGTTGTGGAAACAGCAGTGATATCTTCTAGTAAAGTAAACCATAAGTTTAGAGAGAAGCCCTGGATCTCAGTAGCATCTACCGAACTGATAGACGCTAGAAAGCTCATCCCGCCTGGCTATGAGTACGATGAGGAGCGAAGGGTGGTAAAAATCCTTCACAATGATCGACAATATTGGTGGGTAGCGAAAGCAACGGAGATGGAAAAGGCAACTATTAAGTCTCATTAAGGAAACAGGTATTAGGAACCCGAATGTGAGTGAGACTATTTCGGAAAAGGATGGTTTTATTATTCATTCTCAATCCAGGAGATTGGATCGATGGGCAGAACACTTCAGGGATCAGTTCAATCGGCCTTCAGCCACACTTCGGTCGCCCACGATCCCCAGTTGTCCTCAATGACTTATTGACGTAAGTCCCCTGACTCTTTATGAAGTTGAGAAAGTGATAAGAATTCTGAAATGAGGGAGATCAGCGGGACACGATAGACTGAATCCTGAGATTTTTAAGGATGGTGGTCCAGATTCAGCAGTCAGATTGAGTGACATCTCAGGTAGAATTTGGGAACTGGACGTAACCCAATGCCAATGGTCGCAATCGCCAATTGTCCCAATTTATAAGAAAGAAGAGAAGTCCTCTTGTGAAAATCACAGAGGAATCAGTCTAACTAATATAGATTCTAAATTGGTAGCCTTCATTATCCTTAGACACCTAAGTAGAGCTCGTGAAGAGCACTCTCGAGGAAACTAGGCTGGTTTCAGACAGTGATGACGATGTATAGACCACATTTCTACACTACGACAGGTCCTGGAACACAGACAAATTTAGACGTCAGACAATAGATGTCTTCCTAGACTTTAAGGCCGTATTTGACTCTGTTGATTGTGAGCTTCTGTGGTAGTCCCTGTTATTAAAAGAAGTAAATCAACCTTATACAATCCCTCTACTCAAATACAACAGCTCGATTGAGAGTTTATGGCGAACTGTCATCGGAATAATTCACTTCAAGTGGTATCTATCAGGGATGTCCACTCTCTCCATCCTTGTTCAATTTTATCATAAACATGCTCATAGATATAACATTATCATCGTCTGACTCTTCAAGAGTGGACCTTCTACCAGCAAAATCGCTTGTTGACTTGGAGTATGCCGATGACAAATTTCTACATGGTGAAGACTCTGACAAAATGCTTTATCTCATGACTACCCTAAGGAATGCGATGCCAAATGCTTCTACAGCATCTGCTTGTATCGGCACCTGAACTAGTGATAGGGAGTGAAGCGGTTCAGCGTGTCGACCGCTTCACTTATGTGTGTGGATCGCGAGATGAGAGTTAAACCTGCTTTCAAAGCGGTGGGTGCGCTACAATCTAACGGATTACGGTCTTACATGAATTGGCAACCTGCAGGTGAGTACAACGTGACATGTATTCGTTTTATTCATAATATGTAAAACAGTAATTTGTCAGTCCTGTAAAGTAACTTAATATAAACATCAAAGTATATTCTTCTTATTATTTATAATCCATCGGTGAATTAGACAATGTTATATGTTAGAAATGATGAAAGTTTGCAACTACCATGGTATAATACTTCAAGACTGTGTTGTTTGTAAATTGGAAAGGTCATTTGATAAAGAAAGTTCAAATAGATTCAAGAGAAATGCGTCAAGTTGTACACAATCAATCGTGTGAATAAAATCTACATTAGGAGGAATTTCGTGTTGGCAGTGCAGATAAAAATAAAAATAATGATAATAATAATAATAACGTGACTAATATATTTAATATGAGCAATGTGGCCTAAGTAATTATGATAAAAGTACAAAATAAAAGTTCATGTGAATTGTGAACGATGAATCTGAGCATTAATGAAGATTTAAACACAAAATGAAATGGGAGGAGGGTGAAGAGGTTTATGATATCTAGTTTAAGTTTCTAATCATCCTGTCGTGGACCAAGGTGAACACAATGGCAGCTGAATATATCTCTTTCGAATACATAAGTTAGTTATTCTGGTGTCGATCCAGATGGCCTTAGCTATGCAGAAGAGTTGTAACCTATCTCCTCTCGGTAGATTGTTCAGAACTTGATATAAAACTGAGAGCTTCATCTATATTTATATGATGTTCACTGCATACCAAGCGAGAAGGGGTGGCACTGTTACTCGATTACGTTATTCCTTTTGCTAATCATGTTGATACATGTTCACAAGCAAGCAAAGATAAATTGCTCTGAGTATGGACTATGAAACTAGCTCCATACGAACAATTGCATTGTTATGCACACATAGAGTGACTCATCATCAGCAATCTATCGTTGATTTGTTGTGTGAGTACTGGTTCGGTTGGAAGGACAACCCGTAACCTTAAATGCCTGAAAGTCTTTTCAACAGAATTTTTTCAAGTCGATGTTATTGAATGTTATCCGCTATGACCCTTTGAAATCAATTTTTTGTGTGTTAGAATTTGTTTTACATTTCCGTTCTGATAAACATTTTCTGACAAAATTATCTAAGCAATCATTGTTTTGTGATGATTTCTTTTGTTTATTTATTTCACTATCTACACTATCCTCAGAATATAATTGCTTGATTAAATGTCTACGACATTTCACTAAATTTATTTTATACTGAAGAGGATTGGAGCTCAGAAACTGGGTATATTGACCTGTTCATGTAATCTTTCTAAATGTATTTCCTTTCATGGAACCATTTATTCGTCTAGAAAGTAGGACATCAAGGAAAGCTATACTATTGCCGTTCTCCTCATCGCTGATGAATTAATTCACTAACTAGATGAACATGATGAAAACTGTTCAACAGTTCTTGTTGATTAATAATTTCATCACACACGATTGGCAGTGATAATGTAGCTTATCCATGATGTCTTTGAAAGGTCTTTTATCTAGAGACCCTGATGATGAAGTTATTGAGAACGATTGTTCGCTCAAATATCATTTACTCTTGAAAAGTGATAGTATTTTCTCGCCAAAGAATACCATCATAAATGCCAATTGTTGTAGAGACAGATCCAAGCAACAAGCAAGTTAAAGCCACCAAGTCGTGTCTGGTTTCTATGAATTTACCACATAAATATTCGTCCATCACGTAGGATCTCGCAATGTGCGCGAGACAGCAATGATTGCCACTCAAGCGACAACTGATGAATAGGAACAAGTAATTCTTGAAAGAAAGTGACTGAAATTCTTCTAACAAAATGCCAATAACAGTGGTGATTCATAGTGACAAATTGGTGGGGTAACCTTGATGAGAATTTATAGACTTGGGAGCCTAACGGACTTGCACGAAAATCAAACTAGGTTACTGAAAGTAGTATTTCGAACTGTTAGTGAAAGAGACTGAATATTACAGAATGAACATATACTGAAGAGTTCAGGAGTTGATTTCGTTTAGACTTGTCACACACAGACCTTATTTAAAAACGAGAAGATGAAGAAGAAC